AATGTCATCTCTGTCAATATTTGAAAATTTGGATTCATGAGGTACAGGAATGATTATGGGGTTATAGTGGGAAAGTACTTTGAAAGTGAAACTGCTTCTCATAATGCAGCTTTGAATCAGTTGTTTACAAACACGCTGTTTCCAACTAGCTTGAAACCAAGGTCAGTTTCTGATAATGTTTTTAAGTAGTTCTTTCATAGTGTGGTAATTTCTGTATATAAACAAAATCATGGAATGTTCTGGTTAAATTTGTAAACACAGATTACTGTAAACAGCAGAAGGATGTAATGATAAAATACTGTAGTGTCTTATAGCGCCATCTTTTGAAAAATGTAAAAATATGAAATTTAAGTTTTTCCTGCCTTTGTAAAACATTAGTCAGAAATTCCTATATAAAAAAAACCTGAGATGGGAATTCCAACTTTAAGATTCTCTGCAGTAGGACTTTTAAAAAGTCAAGAGACAGTCACAAAAAAAATCTAAATAAGCACTGATTGGTTTCAGGAAATTGAATGGGAAGAAAATGAATGGAGATGAGTATTAGATGAGAACATGTAAAATTTTCTACCATTGAAAATCCTTAGTAAAACAAGGTAAGGGGAAGTGAAAACAATTGGTAAGAGTTATAAATATGTGGAGGTAGGACACACAAAATATGCATCAGGGCATTCATTCACAAGAAGATGGCTTTGCATTACACTACACAAGCTGAATATTAGTAAGGCTGATATCACGGGGCAAAGCAGCAGCAACACAAAAAATCAACAATGGATTTTTTTACGTAAACCTTAAAAGCCAGTCTGGGTGGGAACTTTATTAAAATATGTTTATGTTTGTGTTATTAATACACTTAGAGGCTATGTAATGCTTTTCTTTTTATATTTTTATTGTTGACAATTCTGATATTTTCCCATGCTTTTTAAATGAGGCTTACAATAATGTGTTTTACCTTTTAATAATTTTACTACTTAGAGATGTACTCTCAGCCCTTATAGGCTAAAAGCTCCTGTATTTTTAGGGTGTGACTTAAAACATTCTAATATTTTTGATTGTATTTTCCTCCTGTGTTTCTGACTTTTTAAAGCAACATACCTGTAACTTCTCAAAAAGTTACATGTTTTCAATAACTTTTGAATTTTTGAATCTAGAAGCTATGTAGATAAATAAAGCTTGATAGATGGACGAGTTGCCTGGGATTATTGAAACAATGAAAATACTTGTATCTTGATACTCAGATGAACTTTAATACATCTGTGGTTATTTGATTTCATTCTGGGATAAACTCTATTGGGATAAATGCAGCTGTGATGAACAACAGGCTTCCAATGTTTCCCCAGGGGTGTTTATGTATCTCTGAGGACTCCTGGGGGAGTCAAGCACACTATCTTGGCATCTGACAACCTCCTCCTTCCTTGGTCACTTTTGTTCTTTAATTTTGTTTCTATTTTTGACTCCACTGACCCTTAATTGACATTTTTCATGCACTACACAGTCAATTTTAAAATGTCAACTCATTTTTTTAGAAACCTGAACTCAAACAAAACAACACTTAAGAAGGCGGGGTATAAGGAAGCCACCTCTTGCCTGCATACTATCTCCTCTGCTGTAAAAAAAAAGCGGGGGGCAACTAAAGTAATGGAAGCCTGGGGTGGAAAGTGGGAAAAGACCAGTGTAACTGGGAGAAAAGGGCCCACCAAAAGTAGAAGACAAGGTGGGAAAGGAGGAGTAGATAGTTGAAGAGGAAGGGACAACAGAGAAGGAGATATATAAGGGTATGGTCACTAGACGGGGAGACTGGACAGAGAGCGAAGAAAAATTCAGGGAAGTCCTACCAGAAGGGTGAGAATGCATGGAGTTAGAGAATGCTTGGACAGGAGAGATGAAGAAGCTGATTGTGTCAGGAGAAGAGGCAGAGAGGAAGAAAAGAGAAGGGATGTCCTGAAAACCCTCTTAGTGGGTGTGGGGACAGAGAGAGAGAGAGAGGAGGAGGAACCTGGAACAAGCCCAGACCCAAGAGGATGCTAAGAAGAGGGAACAGAGAAGTAGTGGGAACCCCCTTCAACTGCAGGAGATCTATTCTCCAAAGAACTGGAGGTCCAGGGTGAATCCTAGGGGACTACCAATGGGGAAGATTAGTGGAAAATCAGCCGCCATATAATCTATGTCTGTGCTGTTGCCACCAGGGTCCACACCAGGTTTGAAAGAAGAGACATAAGACCTTTAGTATTCTGAGGGCAAGAGGCTTCGGATCCTGGATCAGCGTTCTTGGAATCCCTTCCTTACCCTGTTGGTAAGGAAGGATCTGTGACTGCTGAAGTCATACCCGTTGCCTCTGTTGGGCCCGAATCAATCAATGATAACTGTTTAAAGCAAGAGAATGAATCACTGTTTACTCTGTTGCTGGTGAATTGGGGGGGGCTACACATGCTAACAGACAGTACACAGTGTTTGCCATCTTTATCTAAAAAACAACAAATCATCAACCTCCCACAAGTATCAATATAATAATCATTACATATTAATTCTATGTTTTAAATTATCATTTCCTATTATCATTAGTTACCTTTACTGCAGTTTTTAAATATAAGGTACAAGGGCCTCACTTGCCATTTAAGGAATTCCAGTATAACCAGCAAAATATTTACCAATTTCATAAAAATTACATAATGACACCTTGAGGACTGAAAAGTTGTTGCCCTTAGTAGAACAAACTGTAGCTTTTGTGGTGTATTAATGTTGCTAAGCATTCTCTTTAAAATATGTGTGCAGGTATCAAAGAGGTCCAAGCAATATTGAACAAAGGACTGTAGTGCACTGAAATGAAACAGAATAGAGCGTAGACCAAGATGGACAGCTTATGTGATTCTTCTGTTGTTCTTCAACTTCAGTTTCTATAAGCCCTAGTGAGCATAGCCACAGTGGAAGATTATGAGAGTTGCACTCTCATCATTTGAAGATCTACGATACCCGCATAGAGTGGGCAAATAGTCCAGATAGGCGGGGTATAAATAAATGAATGAATGAATGAAAATAAATAAATAACCATTCTGGTGTACATTCAGAAATTAGCCTGTTAACAAACTGAATGGATGTGAAAAGAGTAGCAATGACAGATAAACCTGGAAGCCAGAATGATTATATTTTGGTATTTGGGCAGAAATTTATTATAGTATATCGGAGAATCTGGGAGCACAAACAGTGAAACATAGAAAAGGATCTTAGAATTAGTGGAACCAGGAAGTGGCAGTGATCACATGTGACTATCTCTGATTTGAGAGAAGAAATATTGCGGATGACAAAATTTTGCTAGACAATATAGGGAATAATAGCATATTAGAATGGAATGGAGAAACAAATATTTACAAGTTCACTGATCCTTACAGATAAGCCACAACCCTGTGAAAAGAAGCACCAAGTTCTATCCATTTCCCAGCAGGCCTCTACATTTGTGGGTTGGGTCTCTCTCCTTGACCTGTCTACTTGTCTTCCAGTAAATGGAAGAGATGATGCAACACTCTGCCCATCTCCAGCAGACACACACTCAGCTGCAATTCATAAATGCCTGTGCAGTGCTACCCTCATCAAAACTGACTGATGGGGTAAAAAAATAAAATAAAATGGGATGAGAAAGGGAAGGAAATGGAGGATGCTGGAAAGTAGCATGGCTGACTTAGCATAATGAACAGAGCAGAGTCCACTTAGCTAATTTACTGAGCATGGAATACATTCCATATATGCAATTGTCCACACTCTATTTCAGTTTAATTTGCAGGAGGGGGGAATCTATAACAAAACCTTCAATTATGTTTGGAGATGGTGAAATATATACATAAACACAACTATGAGGATATGTGGGTACAGGATTGCCAGAGACAAAATGAGTTTATAGGGCAAAAAGAGGAAATGGAACCAAAGTTCATTTGATTTACATTAAATTGATTTAAATCACTGCAGGGTGGATAAAAATCAATAATTTTTATTTTAAAATCTGATTTATATTTTAAAAATCTGATTTTAAATTTTTAAAAAAGCATTATTTTTACCCAGCCTGCAGGGATGTAAATCGATTTGATTTAAATCACATTAACCCTGAATGATGCTATCTAGTGTGGTCTGCATACATGAACACTCTTTGCGCAGGACACCACCCCAACACAGGGCAACCTACTCCCAAAACGGATCCATCCAGCTTTCAGAAACGGATTTAGTATCTGAAGGATAAGAAAACAAACAGACGGGACAAAAGGGAATAAAAAAATTAAATTCAGGTTAAAGGACAAAGTGCCTCGAGGCTGACTTTATTTGGCAGAAGCTTTCATGGCCTGCAACCCTCTTCTTCTGAGGCTCCGGAGGAGCAGGGCTGCAGCCCTATTCCAAGGGGTAAAGGCGGACCTATAAAATTAAAAAGGGATCCTGATGATTTCGTGTTTTTTTGTTTGTTTGTGTGTGTGGTATTCTTGCGAAGCCACCACCAAACCATAGATCCCATCTGTCCCTACATAGATCTTTGATCTGATGGTGTTTTCACAATAATCCCACAAAAATAATCATACAAAATAATCAGGATCCATCCATGATTTCATATACTTTCTTCCCTTTTCCAAGCCAATGCCAAAGTAACCTTGCTTACCCCTTCAGGTATCACATGACTCTGTTGTTTATTCTGAAACAGACTCTTACCCTCCCCGCTAGCGAAATGTTATCTTGTGCAATTATTTATTTCTTTGATTTCCACACCGCCCAGCTGGCTGCAACTTTCCCGGGTTAAAAAAGCATCTTTCTTGCATAACAGCGAGCTTGTTTTCCCTCCCGAGGAGCGGCGGGCGGATGGCCCCGCCCACTGCCCCGACCCACCCCACCGCTCGCGCAACAGGCGCCAATAGAGGTCGCCAATCCCGTAATTGGAAAAATCCCAGGCTCCGGACGGGTAACGTGGCCACGCCCACTCCTCCTGCCTCTGCGGAAAGCGGGGCGGCGGCGAGCGCGCGAGAGGCCGTTACCTTCCCACAGGGTATCTCCTGTCTCGCGCCGCCTGAGGAACTTGTACCAGAAGGTGCACGCGGCCTCCTCCTCGGGCAGCGCCACCTCCGCCAGCCACAGGACGGGCTCCTGGGCGGGCAAGGGAGCCAAGGGCCGCACCGGTTTCATAGGGACCGCTTGCTTCGGCTCCCACTGACCCAGCTCGGGCCTGGAGCCTGATACGCCGAGGGACGTGCCCCCTTCAGCCAGCCGGGCGGGCAGGATGACCCCAAAACGGAACAGCATGGCAGCGGGATTCAGCCCGACAGAAAACTAGCCCTACTTAAAAGGAGGAGAAGGCCGAGGGGTGTGGGTTGGTGCCTGGATTTCTACTCATTATCGCTAGGGGGGGAGTAAGTCTTCGCCGCGGAGGGGCTGCGACGTCACTCCTGCCGGCGTGACTCGCTGCCCTGAATAGGGAAGAAAAAGGCGGACCAGGGGGAGGCGAGAGCGAACCCGCCGGTCACGTGACTTGGGCCGGGTTGGCGGGGAAGCGATGGGCGACACGAGGAGGAGGAGCCAGGCTGCTGGGGGGGAGGAGTCATGCGTAGTGAAGCTTCATGCACCCTCTCCCCCCCCCGGCTTAAAAAATAAGCGTGTGGCTGGGGGTCAGGTTCAGTCAGGGCCAGGCTCGCGGGTTGTGTGGGGCCTTCCAGCGTAAAGGGTTGAGAAGCTGCCTGGCTCTCTAGTACAGTAGCTATGGAACAGCGGTGCCTGTTTCCTTGATCGGCTGCAGATTTATGATAAGGGTTGCTAACTCTTAGTCCCATGTCCTACTGCAAGTATACTAACTTCTGACCCACCCAGGTCTTTCTCCTCATCCTGTGCCTTCTGCCAAAAATATACTGTACTATAAATGATAAATATAACAGGACGCATTTAAACATACACATGGCAGAACTCCTTTGATAGACTGATTGTTGATGGATGTAGTTTAATCTACTGCTGTAAGTTGAGAGCCGCTGCCAATATGGGTGTCAATCCTCTGTGTTGCCCACAAAGTGAGGGTGACCAAGAGGAGGGAACAGACTGCCTCTATTTACTGCTTCTTTACTTCATTCTCCTCAAGGCATCTTTGACAGGAAGTAAACATGAGAAAACTGGCTGCTTGTCAAAAATATACTTGGCTGAGGGAACCCCAGCAAGTAAAACAGGATCTGAAAAATGAGCCCTAGTGAGCATAGCCACAGTGGAAGATTATGAGAGTTGCAGTCTCATCATTTGAAGATCTACAAGATACCCATTCTGGTGTACATTCTCAAATTAGCCTGTTAACAAACTGAATGGATGTGAAAAGAGTAGCAGTGACAGATAAACCTGGAAGACAGAATGATTATATTTTTGGATTAATGGAAATGAAGGAGGCATACACAGCCATCTGACAAGCAGAATAGACCACACCAGAATGCAGCTTATTTGTCGCTATGTAGATTGTTCAGAGCACTACACCCACAATAGAGTACAAAAAGCCCATCTGTTTTGTCAAAGCTAAGAATGGCAACCTGCTGTTCTAGAAAGGAGTGCCTAAACTTTTGGTTCCACACACTGCATCAGGTAAATAGGGAGACTGCATTAAGCACAGACGGAAATGTAATTTTTAATAGTTTTGACATTTTCCCACTAGATGTGTATAACAAATCTATGTGCCCGTGTTCAAAAACAGGCACAAATGGGTACATAGTACAGTATATTACAACTTAAGTTACAATACAAATTTATATTCTTGCACACTACATTAGTATATAAGAACTACTAGAGATGCACATGTGGGTTAATCGGGCAATCTGGAAATGACACAGAATGTGTATAGGATTTTCAAGGTATGTGAGCTATTTAAGGAGTGATTTTACTGTTACCACCCTTCAGTGAGTTTCCAGGGCCAAGTAGAGACTTGAATGCTTGTCTCTTGAGTCTTAGTCTGTAATTCTGCTACACTGCGTCATTGTTGATGTGCCATGTATTTACAAGATTTTTTTATGCTAGTGTGTGTTGAGCAGTCAAATGGAGAACAGCATACAACTGCAATTAGCTTTGTTTCTATAACCACACCTTTCTAGTTGTTGCCAAAATTGCCATTGTCACCTGTATTCTAGATCCTTGAATTAAAGATCTTCAATAAAATGAAAAGTGAAGAGAGCTTATACAGTACTAAGAAATCCTTTGTCCCAGTTTCATAAATGATTATTTCATTTGTGTCTGCTAATAAAACAGTAATAGTTTTAATAGTTTCTTGCACAATTTAATAAATAGTCTGTGCTTTTTCACTGTCCAGTGATGCAGTTATCCCTGATTTACATAGGTGCGTCCTGAAGCATATAACACAGTAGAAAAATACGAAGTGACGAAGCAAGTTCAGAGATCCTTGAATCGGTGGAACAAGTTACATTGCAGAATTAAAAGCTTATCCCTCCTCCCACAGCCAGATTTCAGGGATCCCTAGGATCCTCTTCAACCTGGGAAGCCTTCAGGAATTAGACAGGGGTAGGGAATGACTTTAAAGCTGGAAAAGTAACACTGCTGGTCCTGGTCCCATCTGTGAATTCCTGGAACCTACTTGGCACAGGTGTGGGGAATTGGAAACTTTTAATTTTTCTGAAATGGTCACAACATGGCCGCAGGTGATAATAGCACTAGAGTTCCATGATGTAATTTACCTCAGCAGGATTCTGACCACTGTATTTTTTAAAAAATGTTAGATTCTTAGCAGATAAGACAACAATGTTTACTTAGCCTTTGAAACATTGCATTTTAGCCTACAGCAGGGGTCCCCAAACGCCCAGTCCCAGTCCGTGGGCTTCCTGGAACTGGGTGGTGGAGACGGATCTGACTCTCGGACACACCATGAGCATGCCATGCTTGTCGAGGGGCGTGTTGCACTCACGGCGGGTGTGTTATGCTCATGGGTGGATGTGTTGTGCTTGTGTGCATGCACGACACACCCCACGCACGGAGCCCACACACCCCAACCAATCTGCGGTCCCCAAAAGGCTGGGGACCGCTGGCCTACAGCATCCTGAAGCCGATAGCTGAGTGACTCAGCACATGCTACAGAGTTCAGTTCTCTCTACAGTTACAGAGCTTCAGTGCCCCTGAACCTCTCCAGTTAACAAAGACCATGCATTACATAATGGCCAAAGTCCTGCTGCTTAGTATAGCAGATCACACTGGAGTACATCTATTGAATCAATGGGATTTGGTGAGTCAACTTTTCCATAAATTCCATTGATTCAAATGGGCCTACTCTGACTTACTTTAACATAGCAAGTTACAGAGTACTGTAGACCTCTTTGAATCAACAAAACGTAGGATGTAACTATACTGCATTGTATTATGTTTGAAATCTGGCCCTGCCTCTGCCAATCATTTTAGGGGAAAAGCAAGAAATAGTAACAAGGACTAATCTCATGCAGGGAAGAATACGGGGGCATGTTCCCCTCGCAGTCCTAAACGTTATATCCCAAATTCCGGTGTCACCAAAACACTACCTACAGACATAATCCCGTTTTTGCAAGAACATGTAACAAACACATGGGGAAACATCTGTTCAAATCATTCCATTTCAAAAAATAAAAGCCTGCCGTGCTGCACCCAGTGGCAGAGGAAAAAAAAAGCAGCTTTGGGAGCAAAAAGAGCTGAACCAATTTGAATCAATCTTTGCATTATGTGGTCAGTAAAAAAAGAACACTTCAAATTCACCTGTTATAAATGGAGTAAATCCCCACAGTATTTGATCATTTTGCCGTAACTATTCAGAGAATGGGTCTGCTCTAGTACAATTTACTATACTAAACAATAGGATTTTGGCTGATTATTAAGACTTCCATTCAAGCTTTTAAACAGTCATTCCCAGTAGGCAACACCAGGGCACATGAACAACCCCTCATCTGGTATAATGCATTTCCTGTATTCCTTCCTTTTTTCCTATGTCACACATTACATAAGAAACATCTTGTTTCTCATGCATCAGTCAAGAGAGTTTATTCAAAATCTGCACTTTCATAGGAAATACACATTTCCTAATCTGAGACAGATGTGTCTTAATCAGTTCTGTAGTGTAGATCATTTTGGGAACCTGATGTATTCCAACAATGTGGGCAATGAAATTATTTACAGTTACTGCCACAACTGAAGAACTGCATGGGAAGAAGCCCACTCTGTTAAAATAGACAAGTGTAAGTAGTAGTATCTAATGGTATATAGTTTCACCAGAGTATCAGAATATGGATGAGAAAATTCCCATAGTTGAGACATAGTTAACAAACATATTGACAATGCAAGCATCATATGTGTAAACAAAACAAAAAGGAAAAAAAGAACCAATAAAAAGAAAAAAAACATGGTGACACCTTAAAGATTGTTATATTTCAATGTGAGCTTTTGTAGACAAGTCCACCTCCTCAGAAGTTTGCCTTCTTCAAGCATTTTCACTGAATTTACATTTTCACTTAGGAAAAAACACTAAAGGATGAGAATTTTCAATTCAAGACCTACGAATCATATTTGATAGTGAGGTTTCACTACCACGAACAATTTATATCATCCTACAGACAAGCATGATAGTTCTTTAAAACAAAACAATTTATAATAACAAAGAAAAGCATCTACAAAATAGAAATGGCAAATGTGTTTATTAGAATTTTAACAGATGCAGCATTTGTTGGAAACATTGAAATAAGGTAGTAGTGTATTGGTAAGAAAGGAACAGCCGTGAATATGAATTAAAGGCAACACAACTGGAACAAGTACTTGGAGACACTCACACATTTAAAATGCAGGGTACAGTACAGGAAAAAAGTCAAGTATTGACAACTTACATACCACTGGTTTTCTTTTTTTAAAAAACTGCATAGCAGTATAAAAATACTGATATCTTACATTCATGTTGTTCCTGTACACAAGAGTATACCAAACATATTTTTACAGCATTAATGTTTTAATAGCTCTGGATTAAACTTTTAAAAAACACAGTATCTAGATTTGAACATAAAAGTGCATGGAGTGTTGAGAATGAAGTGTTCAAAATGCTTAATGCAACAACAATGAATCAAATGGACACCACAGGTACCACCTGCACTTCTTTGGAAGCTAGAGAGCTGTCTATTGTAGAGTTTCTGCAGCTGCAATTTCTCTCCTCAATTAAGCCAAAGCTTTTTTTTCTGCCCCTTCCTATACTCTAACAAAAAGTGAAAATATTAATTAAATATACAATGGGGAGTGGAGGAAATCTGATGGTTAAGCCTCAGCATATACAGAGCAGCCTGCAAAACTCTGGAATGAATATTACGGGTTATTTCAGACTGACATCTGTTCGGGTGGGGAATGCAACTGTCCAGAAACTACTGAAGGTTATGTTTCCTACTTGAGAATTAGTCATTTTCTGACTGTAAGAACATCCTACATGAAAGGTCAACATATTATCAGGCCTAGCACAGCAATGATGTCCCCTGCACTTTCCCCAAAATTATTAAGCTTAAATCGAGCACTTGTGTGGGTGGGCCCCCCTTCCCTAGCCCTTCGCATCCTGAAACCAGTTATAGAAGGTCTCCCAGCCCTCCTGAGCTGGTGAAGATACATCACCCACCCACTTCTAACACTGATTACACCAGAACCCCAGGAAGAAGATCCTGGCATATAATTCGATATGTTGTTCTATCAACTGAGGACCAAATTCCACAAGTCTGGAGGAGAACATACTTGTCTGGCCACCTCACAGAGAAAGGCAGCTTTGTGAATAGGCAACCGATCCAAGTTCCAAACATTACAAAAATCAGTTATACAGAACAAACATCCATGTTATGTTATATGGCACCAAAGAATGAGGCTGAGGCTCAGTTTGTTTTTTAAGGGACTATAGATAGACTGACTTGTGAAAAATTGGATTATTTCCTAGATTGTATTAATATATAAGGAAATAAGCAGCTTGTGGATCAAGTACTGTATACTGAAGTGAGTTCATTACAAATGTAGCCATTTCTATAACATCTTTTCAATACTTATCCCCTTTAAAAATGGAAACCCTTATTACATTTATACAAACTTGTGCTGCTAGTCTGTGGCACCAATATAGTCCAGCAGTATCAAGTATGAAAACTTCTTAATTATGAAATATAGTTAAAGGCATTCTCATAGTTTCTGTAAATATTCAAACTGTGGAAGACTATGGAATCATGAAATGGATACATATGTATTTAAGTAATGCTTTATAGAGTCAATGGGTTCTCATCTTATAAAGACAGCATACCAATACCTCTGTCCTAAATACATTTGTTTGGAAGCAAATCTCAGTGGAATTTACTTCAAAGTGTGCTCGGAATCAGTGTCTTGTACAACTTAATATAACCTTGAAGCCAAGTAGTACATCTGTGGATGTGTTAACTGTAAGATATTCTATCAATAAAACCAATTTTAAGCCCTTTTTAGATGCATTAATCTAGATATCAATGCTGTGTGACTACTTTACAGCAAACAACAGGAATTTTGTTCAAATTCATGTTTTGCCTTTAAAACAACAGAAGAGGAGACATTAGTTAAACCTAAATGCTAGTTGAAGTGCACCTTAATAATCAAAATACAATTAAATTTGTTTGATTAGACTGGTATTTTGACATCAAGAGATTATTAGAAGCAAGTCTGCTGCCAATCAAAACTTGATGAAAAAATTATTTAAATGGTTTTGCTACTGACTTCCAAGTTTGTGAACTGCATCCTCTACTGACGTGCATTAATACTAAAAACACACATCCTATATAATTTAATCCTTTACTAGAAACTTCATAAAATAACACTGGGTCATCTTAATTTAGCAAAGCAGTATTAAAAACGAGCAGACAGCACAAGATCTGTGCTGCTAAATTCTGACTAGAGTTTGCTTTTTAATTAGTTATATCCTAATTTGTAAATATATCACATGCATATGCTGTTTTTCTCCTATACCAGTTCCTGTCTGAATATGCATACCTCTAGAAATCAGAAGTCTTAAAAAAAGGATACAAATCTCCAACAAAAATTTACGGATGGTGTACATACTAGAAAACTGCTCTGTCCAGCAAATTCATTTTTTTCCAAACATTAAGGCAATTTTCATTAATTATAACTGGACAGCATTATAAAAAATAAATGCCACTTCAAAATGTTATGTACACAATGTCAAGAAATCATATTTAGTAAATTAATAAAGTGTCACAATATTACAGAGAGGTTACATCAGGTGCTTGAGTGTATGTGCAACTGGAAATAAATTCTTTGTGTTTAAAGTACAGGTTTCAAAACAGAACGCAATGACCGTCCTTCCTTCGTAAGCTCTCGTGTAACACACATGCATGGCAGTGGTACAGCTTCTTCCCGTCTCTCTACTGCATTATAACTGCATTTCTTCAAGTGATCAGCCATGCTTACGATGTCAGCAAATTTCCATTCATTTACAGTACAGAAAGCTGTACTAAATCGCCACACCTGGGAGGGAGGGAAAAGCATCAAAATCCATTAATTTTCTTATGCTGTAAAGAATGCATTTAGTAAAGGGCATCAATGTAACAGGTAAGTAAAACTGTACCCAAATATTAAGTGCGTAGGAGACCAAAACCCTAAGGTATAAATCCTAATACTGTTCTTAACTTGATAAGACCCACTGAATCAAATGTTGAATGGTGAATCAAATTATGTTAATTCCACTGGTCTGATACAACTGCTCTAGCTAAGAATACCAGCTATTCTGGCTTAAGCTGTTCACGCCAAGTAGCTAGAACCTTAAATATAGAAGATGGTAAGATGCCTGGTTAAAAAGTTGCCACATTGTCACAGTTTGCTGAATTCTCTACCTCCTTTTCAGCATGGAAGCCAACAACTGTGTTTGCTACTGATAACTTTAATCAGTTCCTGTCAGGATCCAATTGTGCAGTTATGCTAGTTCAGCAGAACCAGTTTTCCCACCTGCTGCAGCTCCTGCGCGCCTTAAAGATTTGTTGCAGAGAACAAGAACACTCCAAAACAGGTATTTGGGCACCACAGAGGGCTGGCTAGCATAGAGGACATAAAGAGACAGTCCCATTGAGGGTATGAAGAAGTAAATTGTCCCCTGCTGATTCCACCAAAGGAACTGCTTCTCTCAGTAAAATGGCAACACTTGGGGTCTGATTTCAATAAGCCCCAAACCACAGATTGCAAATATTTTATAAACTGTGACTTGCCATTATCTATAGTTGGAATAGTTGCAGTTCAAATGAAGTTCAAACATCTGTCTCCTATACAGAAAATAAAGGGGAAGGCTGATTTATTCTGACTTTCAGGTTCATGGGATGTTCCCAAACCACAGAAATGTTGGTGATCGTGGAGCATTGACCCTGCATCAAATAGTCTTAGCAATAAAATATATAGCATGAGCAATAAAAAGAGAAACAATGATCATGAAACAAGTACAGTTAACATTCACTGTCTATGTCTCCTACCATTGAACTCCTACCACTCTGTTAGAGTATTTGTACTCTTAACGGATTTTAAATGTAAGTAGCTTTGGGAGCCAATTTTGACAGAAAAAGAAATATAAGTATAATCAAGCCTGTATATTTTTAAAAGAAAAAAGATTAAATCCACAGCATTTTTAAACATAACTCTCCTCTTAAGTGAAAGGTTTTGTTTCTGGACTAAACACAGCAGTGATCTTTTACATTCAGTCCATCGAATATTTACTATGGTCCTATCTACATTTTGGGGATACACTATCTTCATGATGGGGATACACTATCTACATGATGGGATGTGGTGGCACTGTGGGTTAAACCACAGAAGCCTCTGTGCTGCAGGGTCAGAAGACCAGCAGTCATAAGATCGAATCCACGCGACAGAGTGACATCCCGTTGCTTGTCCCAGCTCCTGCCAACCTAGCCGTTCAAAAGCATGCAAATACCAGTAGATAAATAGGTGCTACCTCAGTGGGAAGGTAATGGTGTTCTGTGTCTAGTCACACTGGCCACATGACCACAGAAACTGGCTTTGGACAAATGCTGGCTCTACGGCTTGGAAACAGGGATGAGCACTGCACCCTAGTTGGACATGACCGGACTAAATGTCAAGGGGAACCTTTACCTTTATCTACATTTTAATGCTTGAAAGGGCTGCTCATAGGGACATTTTAGCATGGGCATGGAAAACTGTTTCTGGATCCATATTTTATAAAGGAGCCCCCATCTCAGCTGAAGCTTCTATACAGTTCCCTGTACTAGGGAAGATGAGGGACAACCTTCAGACACACCCAGTAGCATCCTTGCTGCCTCAGCTCTATCATGCTGGTCTGGGTCCACCATCCAGCCAATCCACACAGTTGATGGTTCCTTTGGAAGTGAAGCCCATGCCTTAGGATCACAGCTGGATACATCCAAATATTTTCCTCTCTGTTACTCCACTTCGGACTTTATGCACTTTGGGTGCTAACCACTGACTGACCAGGCTGAAAAAGGATTTCACCTATGGTCTTGAATGGCTATTTGTTTCTAAGAGTTCTGTTTCTCACAAAAACATTTTGGTTACTCCTCTTTGCAGCCATAGTTGCATTACTTCAGTCCCAGCTACTCTGTCTGATGCTGGGCAATGGGGCACGGACCACAGCCTGGGACATGTGCATTATTTGGCCCTGAAACCTTCCTGTTTTCACTTATTGCTGTTTTTTTTAATTTATTCACCAACTTCCTGAATTTTATGATGCTAAAAATACAAAATCTGTGTCAAATATAGGTAATGTATCTCACTGCTCCATAAACTAATCATCACTCCAAAAACTTTATCATCACTCACAAACTCTTATCTGTCCCCTTGTTCATAAGAGGGAAGTACAATCTTGAGTCCCTTCATCCTACTGATTGAGATGGACAAACTGTGCTAATGTTGTTGAACTGCAATACTCACTGCTTTGTATCATTAGCTATGCTGGCTAAGGCTGGTGGGAATGGCTGTTGAGCAACACTGGGAGGAGCATATGCCACCTCTCATGGCCAAGGCAGAGAACCAGCACATTTGAAAGAGAAGACAACTCCCATCATTTAGAAGTATACAAACCTTTTCTTTTATTTGCCACGAAGAACTTCCATCTGGATACATCCTCTTTTCCCACAACAGTATGACCATTCCACGTGCCTGTAGTAAGCTTCCACATACATCTCTCATCAACCGCGATACTCGTGAGAGCTGACATAAACTAAAGCCATCTAGAAAACCTGCAATATGCTGCAAAACCTCAAAAGGAAGATTGCTTAGATGATCACTACGCAGTCCTAAGCAACACCTCTTATCAGGCTCTGTCAGCACAGTAGATATACAAGGCTGAACCCCAAATGATCGAAGATGCCGATCATGAATTATCTTTGCCCCTTGTGTTGAAGGACAAAACCTGCGTTGAGAATATGTACATCCGTAATAAGCCAGAGGACATCTCTGCTCCATCCAGCCATTGAGGCCAGCATGAATATCACCATGTACATTCTTAAAATGTGAAGAAAATTCATTCCGTCTAAACAGTTGTCCACAAACAAATGTAAACATTGAACGCTTTGTTTGGTATCTAGCCACACATTCTAGTACCAGATCAAGCCCAAGTGTCTGGAAAGGGCTTGGATTTGAGAGTTGTGGATTTGCATGATCACATGCTGATGCTGAAGCAATTTCCCCTACCATTGTATTTGTCGCCAGGATTGCAGATGGAAGAGAAAATGTCTGAGTCCCAAAATCAACATGATATCCATCAATAACACGACTATCAGATATTCCTCTGCCACCAGGAGAGTCCCCAAGACAAAACAATAATGCTGCTGTGATTAAGTCTATTCCCTGAACACCCATAGGATCTTCTGTTATTTCCAAATCTGATGTGTCTACTGCTTTGTCTTCCTTTGGTGCAGAAAAATAGTGACTTGCAAGGAAATTATAACTACGATGAGGAATTAAAGAAAATACGTCTATATTTCTGAGTCTCTCTTGTTCTATTTGTCTCTGTAATAGTTCTTCGCTACAGTCATGTGGTAGATATACATGATTAATAGTGCCATTAGACAAACTGTGCAGAGGTATTTCTTCCTTAACCTGGGTTGCTACAGGAATAGAGTTGCAAAAATTCAATGTTTCATCACATGGGGATGCACTACATACAACATTTGCTACATTAGATAGGTTGGAATTACACACATCTGTTTCTTCACTCTGTTGCAATGTGTTAGTGTCTGCATTGTCTACATGAAAGCCATTACATAAAGAGGTGTTCTCAAAGTTCATGCTCAATTTACATTGTTGCATGGTGTCATAACAAATGTCACTTGAACCATTTTTTTCCAGCTGAGCACTGTGAATCAAGGCATCTACTTGAATGCCACCAACCGCTCCAATGCTGTCATCATCTAAGTAGTTATGCTCTACCACTCTATGCATACTTCTATTACAGTTAGCCTCTTTTGTCTGGTAATCTTCACTGGAAGCTTCACATGATGAAATACCAAGCTTTGAACTTAACATACTTATGTCTCTAGTAGCACTGTTCAGGATATCTAAAGCTGTGGCTAAACTCTTCGTTGTTTCCACAGTAGCTTGATAAAGTGCACCATATGACTCTTCATCGACAGGCATCAAGCCATTTGAAAGTGGAGCATCTTGGGCACTTGTAACAGACGTCTGTTCTCTATATTTTGACACCTGATCAGTTGTTTTCGATGTCATAGTTGCTACTTTGAGAGATTCAAGGAGCATTCTCTGGTCTTGAAGGGCAAGAGCCAGGTCTAACTGCTCAACTTCATCAACATCTTTGCTTAGATTTTCATATGATTTTCGATCAGCATAACTGACTGGCCATCTATTCCATTCCATAGTGCAGCATACCACACTTGCAGGACAATTTTCTAGATGTTCAGCAATTTTGTTTCGAGCTACAGTAAATGGACAGCCAAAGCCACTGTTTAGACAAGGCACTCTTTCAAGTGGACATAGAAGGCGATGCTCTTCAGCTTTACATGAATGAAACACAGCTCCACAAACCATAGGACAACCAGTTAAGTCACAGGAAATGCCAGCCTCTGGTCTGGTCATACATCGTCGACTAACACAGTTGACACAATGTAGATGTTGATGTTCTTCCATGGTGTTAAGTTCAGCTCTAGGAAGATAGAAAGGAAGATAACCTGACAATGCATCACTATTTGTATTTATTTTAACAATTAAGTTAAAACACATGCCTTCTTTGGTACAGTATATTAAAACATGAAGTGCCATCATGTGTACAAAATTGGAAATAGAAAATCTGCATGCCACATACAGAATTGGTAATTTTAGAGATATTCTAAATGCTACACACCATTCTATCTATACTGCTAGTGGCACCAATCCAAGATAAAATCTCAACCAAATCTGTAAGCATGGTACATTACTAGATGCCACAGCACTTCTGCCTTGATTAGTGCTGCACATGCTACAGCAGTTACAGTACCTCTGAACAAGAAAGATACATGGACTAGGATCTTTTTGCCGCACTGGCAGAGCATAATGCTCTTCAGCAGTGTTCCAGTCTGCAGCTTGCCAATGCACAGGGCAAGTGATCACCCCACGGGCACCAATGTGGCTTATGCTTGTGAAAAGAGGTAATGGCAAACTCTTTATGAAAGTTCCAAAAAAGCAGAACTGCTGACACAACTGGCTCATTGCATGAGGAGAATGGCAACAGGATTCTGGCCATAAGATTTCAGCCATGTACTTTCCCATTAGAATGGTATCATCAACAGCATTCTGCTGGCAGTAAGGTTGTACGCCAACATTTCTGCAGAGTTCCAGTGGTGTGGTCAGGCTAACATTGTAATCTAATGAGATAGAGTACAAGTACTACAGCTCAGGTCATGATCCAAAGAGGTCCTTCAGCACATCCAAGGGACAATTCATGGTCCAAGTCACTTTGAACAGGAGCTGCTTATGTTGCATCATACACTATTCTCCTAAATCCCAAGTGCAAGAAGGAACATGCATCTGGAGTTAAAAAGTGCATGTTGGCTGCAGTATCTGGGGGGTTGTAACCCAAGAAAGTAACTTCTCTATCTATGAATTGAACAGATATTTAAGGCAACGTGTACTATATATTTCTCAAAAGAAATGCTAATAGAGGTATATTCCTGGAAATAAGAGCTTGAAATTACCACTCCAAATGTACTAAAACCATCACATAAAACTGTGCATTACAATAGAAATAACCTGGTAGACTGCAGACATTATGGAGTACAAGTTCCATATTCCTTGGATATTGGCAGTACCAAGTAAGGTTTATATGGGCTATGTTTCTTACCAATCCTATAGCTTTAGTCTCTACCAATAAACAGCAACCGTAATCACAATTTCACAGTTGTGCGGGGGGGGGGGTAGGGGAGAGATATCTTTATATTTGAATCACACATCAACATTAAAAAAAGATTTCACACAAGGCCAATGTAATTTCAATATCAGAGTAGTAAAGTACTTTTTAGAAACACTGTAATGTTGAAACTTACTTTCTTTCAGGCAAATTCAAAGCTGGCATAGCAGAAAGTCCATTTCCTGCTGACAGTGTAAACATGGAGGCAGAAATCCTTCTCCAAAGTTTTGTGGTGCCTGTTGCTAAAACAGATGGATGAATCACTGGATTACTACAAAGAAACACACAAAATAACTATTGTTCAGCTGTATTCAACAACTTTCTCAAATGTTCTGCACTTCTAGCCATATTCTCACCAAAGTGTTTTTCAAACTAAGAGAAAAGTTATCTGAAACTGTCACTGCTGTCAGTGACTTTGAAGTTGCCATGAAACTTCAAAAGATTAGTGTGAGGGTTGATTTGCAATTTGATCTACAATCAATGGTTTCAATCTAGAAACAAATTTCTGATCCCATTACTTCTTTGTGTTATCAGCAATAGTATAGGTACATAATCATCACTGCCAGCATTTTCTTTGTTCTTCAATTTATCATGGACACCAAGAAGAGCATTAAAATTAGTGGATACTTGAATATTTCTAAAAAGTACATTTTTTACAATTTATTATAACAAACTGATTTCTTGCTATGTCAAAGAGCCAAAGGCTTCATCCCTCATACTCCCTCTTTTGTTGTAAGGTACTGTGTGCAGTTCAATCTAAAGTCAACTGTCTTTGATTTTAAGGGCAAGTGCAAACTACTATTGAATTGCGATTTGCAATTATAATCCACATGGCAATTTGCTGATTTAGATTCAACAGTTTTCTATTAAAAAGGAGCACGGTAATACACAAGCTGAGGAGGAACAGGGCTTGTTTGTGTACAAGCAAATAATAGCTTCGTGTACACTAAGCCATTATGAAGTATGTACTAAGACATGACAAACAGGACAATACCAACTACCTTCTAACACTTAGCCTACAAGCCTTACCAAAACCACAGCACACACACAACTAAATACAGTGGTGCCTCGCATTACGACGTTAATTTGTTCCAGCGAAATCGCTGCAGAACGAAAAGGTCGTAAAGCGAAAATAAAAAGCCACTGAAACGCATTAAAACCTGGTTAATGCGTTCTAATCGGCTAAGAACTCACCCTCCAGCGAAGATCCTCCATAGGGGTGGCCATTTTCGGGTGCCTGTGCAGCGAAAAATGGCTCCTAAACACAGCGGGGAGCCATTTTGAGCACCCGACGGCCATTTTGAAAACCCGACGATCAGCTGTTTTGATCATCGGGAAGCGAAAATCGGTTCCCGAAACAGGGAACCGATCATCACGCAGCGCAATTCCCCCATTCAAAACGTCGTTTTTCTGGTGACCAAAAACCTCGTCCTAATGTGGATTCACTGTTAAACGGAGCGCCCGTCTTGCAAGGCACCAATCTCTCTCTCTCTCTCTCTCTCTCTCTCTCTCTCTCTGTGTGTGTGTGTGTGTGTGTGTATACACACACACACAAATATATATAAAAGAACTGTGTTCTTCAAACAAATGAAATGTTGTAACATACATACCTATTAGAATTTGTTGTTCCAATTTTCTCAGAGCTTCTGAAATAGAAAAAAGTGGCTGAGTGATTCAGAAAAAGACAGATTACTTCCTTGAAGAGTCCTATATAACATTAACAATACAATATTCTAGTCCCTCATTTGTTGTGTTTACTCATATGTCACATAAGAGCAAAACTACTAGGACTAGTAACAGATCACTGTTGCAATCCAAAACCAGGCAAGAACCCCAAAAGGAGAAAAAAGAGAACCATGCAGGCTAACTGAACTTGTTTAATTAGCATTTAAATGTTCTGGTCACAATATATACACTTAATGTATGAATGAATGTTATGCTTAAATAGTAATTTTTTTAATAATCTAAGAAATTTATCATAGCAAAATTAAAAGAATCATTCTTCCTCTGGATGTCAAAGTGCTACCTGATTTTTCTGAATGGATATTTTTCAAAACATTTTGGAGCAAAAAAGCTTAGATTCTTGTTTCTTTGCTTTCAGCATTCAAGACTTTGCATTAAGCAACACCAGCAATAATCTATGCTAATATAATTTTTGCAGGAGTGTCTCTCCAAGTGTTAACACTCTAGATTTAGACAAGTAATTACAAATGTCCCTAGTACTCCCAATCTGGTATATTCACACATTATTTCTGTAATTCTTACAGCACTGTGGAAGATACGCCAATATCACGCTCATACACCAGTGAGCTGGTGACCAAAGATGTTTCAGTTCATATGTTGCCATTAAAATACAACAGCTCTCAAAGAACAAATTGAATGGCTTCTATAACCACACTTTTTCTATGCTTTAGCTACATATTCCTTATTTGAGGTAGTGGTTGTGCACTGCTTGTAGACATTCTTATAGCAGGAAAATTAACTCACCAGATTAATACCTTCTAAAGAAGAACAGAGCAAAAGGGATTTCTGGGCACAATCATTTAAAAGTAATAAATAAAACTAAGAAAGCTGAAATATTAACTATCAGAAAACACCATAACCCCCCTTTTCTAGCAATTAATTTGTGATCAGCTGAGACAATTCTTTGATTCCTGCTGTTAATCAGGGCAGTCTTATTGTTAAAATTTTGAGATGGCACAATGTTTAATAGTTTCCCCCATCTTTAATATTCCCATTTTGCAACACACACACACACACACACCCCACACACCTCTATATTTCCATCCCAACTGTCTTTTATTACTGTATCTGAATCTATTTACCTGGATATTATTGCTGAAATGAAGTTTGCATTTTTTTTCCTGTTAAAAGAAACATATACAGTAAGTTTAATAACATGTGGATGTCCTTTTTATGCTCTTGTAGTCTTTGGATTACAGTATAATACCTTTACTAGAAAAAATGCCCAATTTTCTGCTATTCACAAACCTATATCTCTGTACTTCTAAAACACAAGTTTCTCTTTGTTTAAAAAGGAAGAAATACGGCAATGGTTTGCCACCCTCTTACCCTCCATGGAGAAGAGGGTACTGGCACTGGGTCTCCACTGTACCAAGACAGAAGTGTCTGGAAAAACTCTATGAAATAGAATAATTTCCATCAACCCTACATACTAAATGTATCACCATCAAATTATACAGAAATGTACTGTATGTGCAAATATCCAGTTATTGGGAGGGTATCACTATTTGAAGAAGGTTGCCTCAATAGGACAATATACAGTGGTGCCTCGCTTAACGATTGCCTCGTTTAGCGATGTTTTTGCTTAACGATGGGTTTTTTAAAAGAATTCTATGCATCATTTAGCCTTGTTTAGCGATGTTTTTGCTTAACGATGGTTTTTTTAAAAAAGAATTCTATGCATCATTTAACGATGTTTCCTATGGACGATTTTCGCTTAGCGATTTCGGGACCATGCTTCACATAGCGAATGCATTTTTAGGTTCCCTGTTTTACTTAACTATGTTTGTTTTTTCAATTTTAAAAGTGTCTTAAAATGTTCAAAAAACGTTTTAAATGCTTGGAATCGTTAGTGCACCTTCTAAAACGTGTGCAAACTTAATTTGGCTTTGATCTGACTTTTCGTTAATTTTTGGTGAATTTTTTTCTCCTCCATAGGAAAGCATTGAAACCAACTTTTGACAGGTTTGCACACGATTTAGAAGGTGCTCTAACAAACCCAAGCATTTAAAACAGTTGCTGACTTTTCGTTAATTTTATGTGAATTTTTTCTCCCCCATTGGAAACAATGGAGCCCAACTTTTGACAGCTCCATTGTTTCCTATGGGGGAGAAAAAAATTCACAATAAATTAACGAAGACTCAGGAACTGTTTTATATGCTTGGATTCATTAGGGCACCTTGCAAAACCTGTGCAAACTTAGTTTGGCTTTGTTCTGAGTCTTCGTTAATTTATTGTGAATTTATTTCTCCCCCATAGGAAAGCATGGAGCTGTCAAATT